AATGTGCCAGGACGAAAGTTACTCACCCTCTCGCTCGTTTAGGTACGTACCAATACATATAAACATATGAAATGTTCTGCTTAGCGGTGCATAAATATTTATAACTATACATACTCCTTCTTGGGCATTTAGTCGGCAGAGAGATATACATACATATGCACATACTGTGTGGGTATATATTTTTCATGGATGCATGTGTTCTTTGGAGGTAGACAGTCTTTGAATATGTTTTTCATTTGATGCATATGCATCTTAGCTCCAAGTAAGCTAAAAAAATTCTATGAATTCTGTGGTAAGATCTTTGCTTCAAGGGTGAAGTAATCACAGTAAAAACTGCAGAAGCCACACAGTTATATATACATATATGAAGGCAACTGGTTTACGAGTCTTTAGTTTGCCAGCTAAAGTAAAAGAATTTATGCCGAGCACTGCCAGGTGGCAAGCGAAAAATGTTGGCATGATGTGTACTGTTTTATACATAGATATGCCTATGATGTATATAAATGCGAGTATGTACGCATTTGCGCTGTTTTGTGTCGTAAATTATTTTGTCGAACGTGTCACCTTTCATAATATCACAACTCATCTCCACTCAACTCGTGCAACTCATTTTCTTTCTAGACTCGACTGATGCCGTCACGTAAAGGCATATTTTTATACGCCGATAGTTGTGTGTGAATGTATGTGTGTGTGTGTGTGTGGTTAATGGCAGTCAACTTGCATCTTTTAGTAAAGTGTCGATTTCACGATGCATTGCTGCAAAATCACTGTCTGCATCTCGAAGGCAGGTGTCAGCAGCAGCGGCAGCAGCAGCAGGAACAGCTTGTACTTCTTAACCTCACTTTTGCCTCTCCTTTTGAATGTAACCTTCAGCAGTAAACCATCAACTACACATACATATTCCCTGGGAGTTTTCTCGTTAGTTTGCAAGTTTTTAATGGCTACTTTCCGGCAGCTGCCTTCATTTATTTATTTATGTACCTTAGATAGCTGCCATCAGCGTCAGTATCGAGCGAGCGAGCGAGCGAGCGTTGGCTGCATATGATTTTAATTGCAGTGTTAATTATTGACAGAGATTGAAGTTGGTGTTAACTTATTTTGGTAGATAATTAAGGCGGCTTCTTGCATAGGTTTGTTTGGTTATATAGTAGTTTATTGAAAGTTTGATATTTGGAAACAGCTGAAATTGATTAATTTCTCCAAGGTAGTAGCAAATATTTCAACGAGTGAAGGGTATATACCGTTAAAGTTGAAATGTGTAAGTTCATTTAAATCTTAGCTAGCTACTGTCCGAAAATAGAGAGATTAACTTACTTCTAATGTTTTCGTTTCTTATAAGAAGTGTTGCCTTTTTACTTTTTTTAAATTGCTTTTATAACTTTGAAGCTGGTTTCTACGTTTCGAATTCCAAGTCTGCTAGGTATGCTTACATTTTTTACGTATTTGTATAGCGAGCCGCTTGTTTTAAGACCAACACCCACCCGCAGTCACACATCTGGTGAAAAAACACTGCAAGTAGACATCAAGGAACCTTTAATCTCAATATGTCTCATACACTGAAAATTCTCCTATTTTAGCCGTGACCCAAGGTTCCACATGGGTTAGTCAAAGCACACGTTTCAATGGTGCGCGAAAATGGACACAAAAACAGGAATTGAGTGCATCCGCCGGTGGAAAAGCAGAGAGAAGAAGACTTCCGCTCCTTTGGAAGGATAAAGTGGAGAGGGACCTGTCTGTCTTAGTATTTCCAATTTTCGTCAAATAGCGTAGGGAAAGAATAAATGGTGCGCTATTATTAGCTCAAATATTAGGTGTAGTAAAAAGAAATCCATTATATTTCCAATTGATGGCGTTATTTATTAATATCTCGCGTTGCATAAGTCCAAATTTCATACTTTAAAAGCTCTTCTGGTAGTTTTGCGATTGGTTAATTCAGTTTTGTTTGATCATGCGTCAAAGATGGTCAATAGCAAAGAGAAAATACGCTATATTTTACAGCTTTCCCTCGCTGAGGGCGAAAGCGCAAGCCAGGCGGCTGAAAATTGAAAACCGTGTATGCTGCTGATACTGTTACAGTCAATCGTGTACAATTTCGGTTTGGTCGTTCCGGTAATTTTGATTTAAAAGATGCTTCATGGAGTGGAAGGCCAATTGTCGAAAATGTCTATAAAATCATGGACAATGTTGAGTCCGACCGTTATGTAAGCACTGTTTTTATTGCCCAATAGCTAAAGATTGCACAAACCATCAATTGGATCCAATTGAATAAGACTGGGTACGAAAAGAAAAGAAGAAATCATTAAATTGTATGCAAAAATAATGGATTACTTTATACTACACCTGATATAATTACGTAAGCGGTGAAGAAGAGAATACGGTCCTAATAAATCAACGGATCGGTTATAGCCGAATTAATAATATCGTACTCTATTTGCTTCTCTACTTAATCTCTTTAACATAATGAAGACTCTTTTCTTGGTCTCTTCCACAGGAAGGTACTGCGTCGAAAATTTTCCAAACAGAATTTTGTATCCAATACGCATGTCATGGCCTAGCCAGCGCAGTAGGTATCTCTGAGTGTACTGAATTACTAGATGTGACAATGAAGTAATGAGACTGATTATGTTGCCACGATTGTGGCAACCCTGCAAAACTTGAAATTCCCTTCCCTTCTCCCGGCATCCTTCTCCTCTCCATTGATATATTTGTCATCGCTTGGGCTGCTTGATCGAATTGTTGCAGACGATGAGAGCTAATTTTTTCAATACGATCCGGAAACCAATGACAAAGCTCACAATGGTAGTCTCCGCACGCCCCTCGCCAGAAAAAAGCTCGCATAAGCAAGTTGAAGGTGAAGGAGAAGACCATTGCCTTTTTTAAAAGCCGTGGAATCATCCACATATAATTTCTTCGAACGGCGAACCGTAAATCAAGTCTACTATGGCCAAGTACGCGAAAACGTGCCAGACATTGCTCGTAACTGGTTCCTTCATCGCGACAACGTGTCGTGCCACACCGCCCTCAGCGTGTCCCAGTCTTTGGCTAATTTTTTCCCTAGAAAAAAATCGGTGGACAAAGGAACCCATTTTGAGTCGATTGAGGGTATCCAATCGGCTGTCAAAGGGGAACTTGCGGACATCGCAGTCAATGCGTTTCAGAAATGTTACAAAGCATGGAAAACGTGCTGGAATTGTTGTATAGCTGCCCGAAGAGACTACTTTAAATCGGATGGCAGAACTGTAGAATAATTTTTAAATATACGGTTTTTATGGAATCAGTCTCGTTACTTCATTATAACCCCTCAATATCGGTATACATCTTGTACAGATCAACGCTCCAGCGTATAATGCACTCGTCATCGCTAGTACGCATAACTCCATAAGTTACTTGTAGCACGATGGATATGATAAGCGACCAAACTCTAGGTTTTTTTTCATACAGATAAGACTTTACTTTTTATTTCTTTAAGGTACAATAGCATCGGTAAGACCTGTTCTGCGTTAGAACTCACGACTGACATTGTTGTTATCCTTGATACTGATAGATAGAAGAAACTTTCTATGAGTTTGTTTACTTAATGAAGCTACTTCGCCTTGTCCATGCTTAGTCTGGTAGCTTATACGCTTTGTTTTGTTGTCTAACATGGAAAAAAAACCTAACAGGGAAAGCAGCTGTATGGGCTTGTAGAAAATAAAATTTGGTTCCTTTAGCTCTGCAGCTCATAGTGTTTTCTCCAGCAAGATATAGAATCAATCATCTGGTCTGAGACCTCTTTGATGAGAGGCCATGAGTAGAAGTCTGCTCAAAGACTTGACGGGAAAATATTGTTTTAAAGCAGCTCACTTCTGGATCGAAACAATTATACCTGTGCGTAAAGCTTAAACTTGCCACAATAACAAAAAAAATCTGAGAAAAGTACGAAATAATTGGGTTTCTTTTCAAAAGATGTTGTGTGGATGAGTGAAATATGAGAAAGAGGAGGTTGGCTTGGATCAAGTGGAAGCAGACCTTAAAATCTAGGAGTCGCTTTTCTAGACGACCGGTGTGTTTTCGGCAACATTAAGGTAAGCTTGTAGCAGCAATAGCCGAGTGCGTACTACCATTCTGAAGGCTAGGGTTCGTATTCCGGCTCGCCCAATGTCCAAAATTAATTGATAAATATAGTTATTTTTTCTAATTGCGGTCACCCCTCGGCAAGAAATGGTAATCCCATCGAGTATATTTCTGACCAGAAAATAAAAGCTCCTCATTAATATCGATTTGTTGTTTTGAGGCGACTTAGAATTAACTAGCGTAAGTCCACGGTAGCCGAGTGGTTGACATTGCATACTGCTATTCGGAAGGCTCGCGTTCAAATCTTCATGCGACCATCATCGCCTATCGACAGGGAATACCAGCCCCTCCGAGTGTATTTCTGACATGAAATAAAAGCCCATCAACCGTAGGTATGCGGCTTAGTAGTTCCTCCGTATATTGCTAAGCATCAAGAAGCTTATCATAAACCGCAGGAGGAGCTCAGGCGAAAATCATGGATACAAAACACCAATTATGTATCATATTTAATGAGGTAAGCTAGCTTGTTGTAATTTATTAGAAAAAATACAAAACATTATTGAGTTAATGTGATTGCCGTCTTTTGTAGCTAGCACTAGGTCTTGGTCGTTTGACAGGTAGCGTTCGATAAATTTTCTCTACTACCCGTCCCAACCGCAGCGAGAAAGTCATTTGAAAGGCAACTTATTTTTTTACCGTAAATTAAAATTGCACAAAGTCCTATTATTATTCCAGCCAAATATTCCCTTGTAAGTTTCACTTACTGTTGTTCTTAAAATCCCAAAGAAACTACACTTTTCATCCGATAGAGGAAGTACACAAAATCTGCCACTTGCTGCATGGTTGAACGCACTAAGCGTTAGCAAAGCAAACACAATCTCTTTGGTATGCTTGTTACGTTACAACAAGAAAAAAGCACGAGCCAAACTGCTCTCCATTCCACTTACCTGCACTCACGATCCTCTTTGCAATTTTCCGCCACTGAATGACAGGTCGGTGGCGGGTGGTAGTAAACGCCATTTGAACCTTGCTGATTACTGTTATCGGCCGGCCTTTGTGCACAAGTTGGATGGAGCTTTTCCTGTGCAATCATGCACATATCGTGACGATTCGTTGTTTTTCTATTTTGAAATGGACGAGAGAGAGAGAGGGAGAGAGAAAGGGTTAAAAAAATGAAAAAAGAAGAAAAATTGTGTTGAAAAGTATAAAGATGCAAGGCAAATGGGTAGAAACTCTGCACGAACTGCTTGAAATGTTATCAATTTCTTTTTTCTATTTTTATGTATTTGCAACACGCCAACGATTGCACTAAAAGCCAAACGACGAAATGTCTGTGAAAACCACGAAGCGTGCAGTAGGAGATAGCAGCAACTTGTGTTTCATGTTAAATCCATGTGACACGCACAAGTAAGCACTTGAGTATGCACGCAGAGCTGCTGCTGCTGCTGCTACTAACCGTTCGGCCGTTTACTGCACGCGCAAGCGGTGGCTTCAGACAAAAGCAGATACGTACTCTTCGGCGCTCAAGTACTTAGTTGTTGTTGCACATCTAAGTATTTACATATATATATATATGTATGTGTATGTAAATTTCTATGTATTTAAGTATTCTTCAAGAGACGATACTTACTTGCAGAGGCAGAATGCAATATCCAAATTCAAATCCTCATGCGGTCCCTTATAGAAGGCTTGTAGTGATGTCATGCATGCATTGCGATTGCAACGGTGCATTTCACAATGCATCAACATTGGCTGCAGAGAAGCGGAACATGTGACATCCTCTCGGCAAGTGTCCAATGCTGTGTGGCAGGTACTCTGCACGAACCGTAATGATGAAACGTTTTACCAACACGCCAGCCATTGGCCATTGGCCATCAGCAATAAAGCAGCAGTCATCATGAAGATGCCACCGGAATTCGAAAACGTCGTATTGGTTGAAGCGAGTATTGTTGTGAAGGTAATGAGTGATGCGTGCGTGTAATTTCATAGTTGTTGTTATGGTTTGTAGTTTATGGTGTGCAGTTTGTAGTTTTGCAGTTAATTGTTTGTAGTACGAAATTTACAGTTTATAATTTTAGGTTCGTGGTTTGAAATTGTAGTTTGTGGTTTTTAATTAATATTTAAAGTTTGAGGTTAGTAGTTTGTAATTGTAGTTGTCAGTTTGTGTTTTCGAAGTCAAAAATTTGTGGTTTTGCGGTTTGTGGATTCGAAGTCAAAAATTTGTGGTTTTGCGGTTTGTGGTTTCGAAGTCAAAAATTTGTGGTTTTGCAGTTTGTGGTTTGTAGTTTGCAGTTTGTAATTTCGAAAATAAAAATTTGTGGTTTTGCAGTTGTTGTAATATAAAAATTGAGGTTTGTAGTTTGTATTGTAGTTTGCAGTTTGTAGTTTCAAAAATTAAAATTTGTTTATATGAAATTTGCAGTTTGTGGTTTGTAGTTTGCAGTTTTTAATTTGTTTTTACACATTTGTGTTTTGTAGTTTTCAATAGCAGTTTGTAGTTTCGAAGTTTGTAAATATTAGTTTGTAGTTTGTTGTTTAAAGTTTGAATTTTACATTGCGTCATTGATTTCGATCCAACAGAGCCGATTAAATGCAGCAGTCCACGTAATATTTGCAGATGCGTTGTATTTGCAGATGCGTGCCGAAAAGTATGATCTCGAAGTTGTTGTTGTTGTCGCATTTTTGACAATACCATGCATGAAATGACCAGCGATTGTAAGTAGGAGTCGTAAAATGCCAACCATCCATTGATTGCGTTTATTTTGTAGGTAGATCCACACGCGTGCACCAAATAGCATGCAAGAGACATAAATGAGAAAAAGAAGAAGAAGAAGAAGAAGAAGAAGAAGAAGAAGAAGAAAAAATATAAGCTTTGACGAGCTGCATTTAATAGCGATGTGTGCGCTCAAATTTGTTGAATGCAACCAAAATGAACGAACGGACAGTGGCATCAACCAAAACTGTGGGAATTGCATACTCTAATGCACGTCAGGAAAGTGCTGTAGAGCACAGGCAAGCTCCCACAAAAACTCTTCTTCCCGAGTTACATTTGAACTTACCTGAAAGTGTTGCTTAATTATTTCCGTTGAGAGGTCCACTTCAACATCCTGACCACCTATGCGTTGAAGACAAGTGTAATGTGGCGGGCAGCAGAGCGTTGGAAAGATTGGGAAGAAAATGGTTCCACAAGTGGAACGTGTCCAAGTGAACAAAGAATGTATTTTGTTGTTTTTGTTTTGAATTTTTTGTTTCATTTGAATCGCCCAACCAGTGACAAATGTTTATAAGCCAAATTTGTTGTTGTTTATGGTGTGCGTAGATTAAATTATTTTTTATATTATATTTTTTATATGCAGCGTTCATTAAGGAAATTATTATTATTGTTTTTGTTTGTAGCATGTATTATTATAGTTGTTTATCCGTTGTATGAAAATAGATATGCGTGTGTGTGACAATTTCATCGGTAAATTGTGTAAAAGAGCCGATGACCGCCATCGTAAATGATTTTTGTACAGAAATTGTTCATGCCAATTCATTTGGTTGTAGTTGTTGTTCATTTAAATTTTATTTTTTCATATTCATTATAGCGTTGTAGTGTAGTTGATGAAAAAATGAATTATTGTCGATGTAGATTGGAGCGGAAAAACGGTAAAATAAAAAAAGAAAATTTAATAAAATTTAAGATTTTTCCATATGAAGTAACAATATGAATAAATGCCAATAATTCAACATATGTATGTAGTATTTATATAGTATTTTCGTTATTCCTTTAATTAAAAATAACATAAATAGTATTTTTTATGAAAATTACACTTGTCCATGGAGTTTTTAAATGTAAATTCTGACATAACCTACACTTGATTTACATAAGTATGTATGAACACAAATAATATTTTTGTTTTCTATCACATATGTATACTCGTATGTACGCTTTACCATTAAATTTTACCGCAAATGAAATGCGTGGGAACTGTACTTCGTTAAAAATCGAGTGTAAATCGAAAGTATAAAGCACAATAAGCTGAAAAAAAATATTTCTTTATAAATAATTATTTGTGAATATTTAATAATTTTAAAACGATCTTCTCGAAAGAGAAATATGTGCCTTTCTTGATAAAATTTTACTTGAAACAAAAAAAATTTACCAAATATACGACAGCTTTGCATTGCATTTATCTACATCCTTTTTCAATTGATTTTATTCATTTTAATTTATTTTCGTTTGCATCTAAATTTATTTTATTCTAATTTTTTTTATTTATAATTTTAAATTTTATTTTATTCCATTTTTGGTAAGATAATTCAATTTAATTAATTTTTTTGTATTTTATTTTGTTTTATTTTAATTCAATTTTTAAAAATTTTTTTTTTAAATATGTATATTTTATTTCTATTTATAACGGGACATTTATTTATGGCTGCATCAGCAATTGTTTTTGCCTTTCATATGTGTGTTGCTTCCAATTGCACACAATTGGCATAAAAGTCTGACAACTTAATTGCCTGAAATGCTTCATATAAGTATATATAATGACCAATTATGTTTATTATTTGATTTCGCGGTAAGTAATATTTGCGCGATTAAAAATTTAAAGCCGCCAACAAGCCAACTTTAATAAAATAAAAGAAATGAAAATTCATTTGTGGCGCATTTGTGAAATGGAACTTTAAAAATTTATATAAAAAAAAAATAAAGTATTCAAATACAAATAAATGGCCAAGCGATTCAAACGTTGTTGCGCATAACAAATTGATAATGAAAAAGTTGTCATTAAATAGCGCAGTAATTGCTGAATTGACCACATCAAATAAAAAGTGACAGTAAGTTTTTTATAACGAGTATCAATTTGTTACGGTATGCGGCGGTTGAAAAGTATTCGTGAACTTATTTTTTTCGTAATCGTATTCGAAATGTTAATTTATTTCAATTCAATTTTTTTTTTGATCCCAGTCTATTTATTACTTTATTACTTTATTTTTATAAATATTGAGCTCCATCTATCAGTACAGGTTTTTAAATATAACTATTTTGTTATTTTTAAGCTTAATTTTATTAAATATTATTTGCTAATTTTAGTTACGTATATTCTAACTAAATTTTTGTCATATTTTGAATTTGTTTATTTAATTTTTTATCATTTTATATTATTTGGTTGTAATTTAATTTTCGTTCATTTTCCTTTAATTTTAATTAATTCTATCTTTACTATCTTTTAAATATTTTTGTTTTCTTTATATCTGTTTATTTAATCTAATTTATTTTAATTTAGCTAAAATTTTTTATTCCAGTTTAATTTTGTTTTATATTTGTTTTAATTTATTTAATTTGTATTTCATTCATTTTTTGTATGTTATTTTAGTACATTTTTATATTATGTTATACTACTCCATTTGATTTATTTTGCTTCATTTTGTTTTATCATTTTTAATTTAATTGATATATTTTATTTTATTTGATTTTTTTTGGTTGTTTCTATTTAATATTTTATTTTACTCTATTTTGTTTTATCTTATTTTATTTAAACATATTTATTTTTAACATTTGGTTTAGTTTATATTTTTGATCTTTTTTATTTTATTTTATTATTTTGCCTTCATATAATTTAATTTTTAATTTATATTTTTATTTCTGTTAACTTGGTTTAATTTAGTTTTACTTAATTTAATTTAATTTATCTAAGTTTTATCTAATTAGATTTTATTTTATTTTACTTTATTAATTTTACTGAATTTAATTTATTTTAATTTAGATTTATTTGATTTAATTTTATATTATATCTTTTATTTATTTTTTTTAATTATTTTATTTTAATTATATTAAAGTATTTATCCTTATTTTAATCTATTTAATTTATTTAGTTTCATTTAATTTTATTTAATTTATTTTATTTTATTTTCTGTAAGTTTTTTTGGTTCTTTTTCATTTTATTTCATTTATTATAATTTTCTTTTATAGTACATTAAATTATTTGATCAACATATATTTTATTCGATTTAATTTATTAAGTTTAGTTCAATTTAATTTAGTTCAGTTTTGTTTATTCTAATTCAATATTATTTAATTTAATTTTATTTTATTTTACATAAAATTATTTGATCTATATTTATTTTATTCTATTTAATTAATCAAGTTTAATTTAATTTAATATTATTTTATTTTCTGTTAGTTTATTTGGCTTTATTTTATTTTATAATTTTCTTTTATATTATCTAAAAATAGTTGATATTTCTTTACTTTATTCTATTTTTTGTTTAGTTTAATTGATTAATTTTTTTTTTATTTATTGTATTTTAGGTAGCTTTATTTGATAATTTTTCTTGTATTTTTTTTTTTTGGTTTTGCTTTTTTTTAGTTTTTACTTATATTTATTACTTTGTTTATTTTTTTATTTAATATTTTTTTTTGTTTATTTTATTCTCTAAGTTTTTACAGTATTTTTCGTCTAGTAAGCTGTTTTCGTCTGCTTACTCGCCTCTCGGTTCTGTCAAATGTAATTAAAAACTTTTTTGTTGTTTTATTTAATTGGGGCACATTATTGTTCGACTTTCTTTTATTAACTTTTTTCAACATTTATTATTCTGCCCGCAGAGCACTTATTTCCAAATTGTTGCACATTTGGATCCTTATATTATTATAATTAAAAGCTAAACTACTGCAAATAATCAACTTAACTACTTGCCTTACATATGTTTTCATTTGTATACGATTTTGCTAAGTATGCGCCTACATTATTCAACTGCCTGACTAAAATGAGTATTTTTTGACCATTTTAATTATTCACGTGTTAGACGTGTTTATAAATTATTTGTTAGCCGAGTAAATTAAACAGTAAATTTAATTAAAAGCGCAAATAAAATAACTGCACTTCGCAGTACATAGGTACTTTTATGTATGGGAATATGTGCAGTTATTTATTATTATTATAAAATATTTTTTTTTGTTGCGTTTTCAACTCATTTGCTTCGAAAAACCACATTTTAAATGAGCAAACTAACCATATCGCAAGCAAATTACACGCATACATATAGACTCCAAATATATGTATGCACATGAAACTAACCATGTAACTTTACTTTTTTATTGCTACCCATTTTTGGGCATTTTCCACCCACTGGTCATGTGGGTGTTGAACAATTTTTTCGTACCACTTTAAGCGCCCTGACGTGTCGCCGTTACATCGCCGGACAGTGGCATTTGATTAATAGTACTTTAAATGCGTTGCCACTTGAAAACTACAGCATGCAAAAAAAAAAAAAACCGTTAAGGCATGTGGTATTCCATGCCATTTGATGGGGATGCCTGAAGCTTATCTGGCTGAATTTGTGGGGCCAGCGTGTGAGTTATCGCGCTGAACTGAGAAGAAACATTACGTCCACAGAAACACATATTTGTCTGTTTGTATGTGTGTAGCTATTTATGTAAATTATTGCTTGTCATTGGACACGCTAGAAAAATTTATTGACAAAAAGAAAATTTATTCATTTTCATTCCATTTCATTTCATGTGAGTAGAGTAATCCAATTAAATCGCATTAGTAATTTAGTGACGTACAATAAATTCAATGAATTGTTACAGCGGTACAGTTATTTGAATTTACATTTACAATTATTGTGTGCAAAAAAATAAATAAACAAAAAAAAAATAAAAAAAATGTTTGCCAGTTTTGCACGCATGTAAACATATTTTATTGTCAAATAAACGCTTTACGTTGTAAGTAAAATAAATGAGATTTTATTTTAAGCTGCTGAGGTATGCATTTTTGTAGAGGCGTACAGGGTCTTAATTGTTTGCATATTTTTATGCTTTAAAAAGTTATTGTATGTCTAAAGAGTTCATTTAAGAAATGTTGTTTGAAGTTTAAAAAAATTAACAATTATTTGCTTCCAAAATAATATTTCTTACCACAAAAAAAAAAAAATTATGAAAATGCTCTGTTATCATTTAAAAAAGTAGTATTTTTTGAAAGCCAAAGAAGCAATTATAAAAAATATTAGGTCAAGTAAGAAATTCATTCGGTTTTTATCTTAGAGATGGCGTTATTGTCCATAGTACTAGTGTTACGTGTCGCATCATGTCATACTATATGGCGCTGAAACGGTATTTATTCGCGCTTA